TATTTGTGTAAAGTCTAAATATGTTTAGAACCTAACGGTTTATCATCATTGTTATTTGTGTAAGTCTAAATATGTTTAGAACCTAACGGTTTATCATCAGAGTTATTTGTGTAAGTCTAAATATGTTTAGAACCTAACGGTTTATCATCAGAGTTATTTGTGTAAGTCTAAATATGTTTAGAACCTAACGGTTTATCATCAGAGTTATTTGTGTAAGTCTAAATATGTTTAGAACCTAACGGTTTATCATCAAAGTTATTTGTGTAAGTCTAAATATGTTTAGAACCTAACGGTTTATCATCATTGTTATTTGTGTAAGTCTAAATAAGTTTGTTTATAACCAGTTATTTGTGTAAGTCTAAATATGTTTAGAACCTAACAGTTTATCATCAGTGTTATTTGTGTAAGTCTAAATAAGTTTGTTTATAACCAATTATTTGTGTAAGTCTAAATATATTTAGAACCTAACAGTTTATCATCAGAGTTATTTGTGTAAGTCTAAATAAGTTTGTTTATAACCAATTATTTGTGTTAGTCTAAATACGTTTGTTTATAAACAATTATCAGTTACAATTGCATTATTTAAAAAAATGACAATTAATTGTTACTTTCCTCCATAATTAATTTAACATATTCATGTAAAATATTTAAAATAAGCAAAAAACTGTTAAATCGGACAAATTACGAGATGAAATAAAACAGTCATTTCAGTATCTTTATGTATATAGAAATATCTGAATTATATATTTTAATTTCTAAGAAGTTCATAACTTCATTAGCACAAGTAGGAACCACAGTCATTCCCTCCTTCCGGCTGTTGAGATATTATTAAAAATAATTATTCTGCTCTCAAAGGCAGTCATTTTAATCAAGAGAAAACAGGAGAATTGAAAACCACGGCTTTCTTATGTATGTATATATATAATGATAGAAAATGTCTCTATATTTTCATGACAAAAAAAAAAATTGAATAGATAGATAAAAAAACTAACTTTTTCCGTCAACAAGGTTCAAGTGATTGGAACGACCATAATATGGAGAATTTAATTCTTTCTTCTGAATTTGTTATCATTAAAACTGTGATACATTATAAATTGTACTCACAAAATAAATATTTTTTAGCTGTACTCACTAAAGTGTGTTACGTTGCTCATGGAAACAATAACGAAAGCATTACCGACATAAAAAGACTTAAAAAAAAAGATATGTACCATGGCATCTTGGATTTGTTTCTCAGTTTCTGGATGAGTAATTAAGTTGATTGGTTTAAGATTTTTGATGCGAGTAGACATGTCCATCATCCAGGGTTGTTCATCATTCTCCATTTTAGCTCGATACATCCTTAGCAGTTCTGTAGCAGCTTCACAACTTCTTAATCTATAAGTCCACCACACGGGGGGATAATATTTAATAAAATTATTTCAATATGTCTGAACTAGAATCTAAAAGATAATATTGAATTAGTGATATAGATTTTCATAAATTAATTTTCTTCATACGAAATTCTTATCAAAATAAGTCTGTCATAACATTTCTCACTGCATGTTCTAACCAACTTTCTTGAGTGATCCTTGAAAGGCGTAAGTTAAAACTGTAAGTTTTCTAAAGTTGAGGAACATCGATTTTGTTTGAAAAGTTCAAGATTATTTATATTTAATTGAGACTTTCTACAGAACAACACTGTAACTTTATAAAATATTTGATTTTTATATTCTGACAAATTATAAAATATTTAACGAATCTGGTGTTATTCATAATTTAAGTAGCATTGTCGAAGCATTATAAAAACTGGAGGTTACGCAGTAACGGATTGTATGCAAAGGAAAAATGTATATGACAGAGACACTCTGATGCAATGTTTTGCTACCAGAGGGCTGTTCAGGTATAAAAAGCCTAAACTTCTTCTGTACTCACAGCTCATGCTTAAACTTTCAGAGCTAATTTTGATGTGCACCAAAAATAAGATACAAGTTTTACAACAGTTACTGTAGTTAACACAATTAAACAACTCTCTGGTGGCAAAATAGTGCATCTATCATATTTTTGTTTGTACCTACACAAAGGGATATCTCCGCAAAGCCATCCCTAACCGTGAACTGACAGACTATAAAGAATCTAGCTAATTACCACAACCTCTTGAGATACCCTTGTCTGATTGAATAGTGAGACTTGGTTGTCACTTTCAAATCACATCTGTGGTACAAAGTACAGCGTGCATTTTTTGCAGCAATAAGCCATGAACCACAAACCCTTAAATTCATGGTCTGAGCACAATATCTGCCCATCTGTTTATTTCACAGACATATTGTTCTGTGCATATAATCCTTCACATACCCTTCAGTATTTGCCAACAGTTTATGAACCACCCTGCCGATTCATGAGAGCCTGTCAAGTTACAGACTACTTTCGATGGAAGAACAACCCAGTAATTTGACTACAAACACACTGCATGCTAAATTAACTTACTTCTAAATCTCAAGCGGTAAAAGTAAAAGAAATAACTACCGTTCCACAACTTGAAAGCAACCATTATCCCAACGTTTCGTGATCTTCTTAACATCTTCTTCTATTTTTTTTACATCTGAGTGTCTGACTTGTTTGGGACGGGTTCGTTCAGTCAGCCGCTGAACAATGACTAGATCACTGTTAATTTGATCAATCACAGTCTGCCCCTGTTGAATCTCTTCTTGAAGGTTCTAAAGGGTAAACAAACAACACTATGAGCTTAAAGGCAACATTCACACTTTGAGACATTAGAAATCAGGTTAATTTTTACAGTCAGGGTTGAAACTGCTGGTACTCACCAGTACTAAGTATCAAGACTTATTTTAATACTAGTATTTAGTATTGGGACTTATTTTAATACTGATACTCAGTATTGGGACTTATTTTAATACTAATATTTAGTATTGGTACTTATTTTAATACCAGTACTCAGCATGGGGGACATATTTTAACACCAGTACTCAGCAGTGGGGACATATTTTAACACCGGTACTCAGCATGGGGACATATTTTAATACCAGTACTCAGCATGGGGACATATTTTAACACCGGTACTCAGCATGGGGACATATTTTATTACCGGTACTCAGCATGGGGACATATTTTAACACCAGTACTCAGCATGGGGACATATTTTAACACCGGTACTCAGCATGGGGACATATTTTATTACCGGT